AACACTCAATCAAAGGTCAACCAAACAATATTACCAAGAAACCAACTCAAATAAGAGCAAAAGAAGAAACAATAACTACGTACCTCAAGTGGGGCGTTACAAAATACCAATCTGTATGGCGACATACCGATAGGGGTCTTATAGGTAGTCTTGTAGGCCTACAATGCATCTTCTAATCTCAAACTCCAATCCTTCATATTTGGCTTGACTGTTTTCTCTAGACTGGATTTTACTTCACGATTAGATACCTTAGCTTGGCCACTACTCTGCGGGTGATAAGACGTGCCGTTGTGCACCACCTTGTATTTCTTAAACAATGTCTCCACCATCTTATTACAGAAGTGAGTGCCTCTATCACTAATGACAGCCATTGGGATTCCAAACCTAACAAAGATATTGGACTTTATGAAATCTGCAACCACTTTAGAATTGTCAGTCTTGGCGACTTTTGCTTCCACCCATTTATAGAGTTAATCAATAGCCAAAAGGATATATACATTACCAAAAGATGAAGGGAATGGTCCAATGAAATCAATGCCCCAAATACCAAAAATCTCAATAATTAAAACAGGGGTTTGTGGCATTTGATTTGTATGGGAAATATTACCTGTACATTGGCAATTTTCACAAGACTTACCAAAAAAATATGCATCCTTAAACATGGTCAGCCAAAAAAATCCACATTCTTAAATCTTACAAGCTATTCTGTTTGGTCCAAAATGACCTCCACAAGCATACGAATGATAGAAGGTTAGAATAGATAAAAAATCAATTTCGGTACACACCTTTTTATTACTTGATCAACACAAAATCTCCACAAGTATGGGTCATCCCACACATAATACTTGGCATTATGTTTAAGCTTATCCTTCTGAGCTTGATAGCATGTCGAATGCTCCAAATTAATAACCTTCTCAACCTAACTCCTGAATTGCGTATAGGGTAAGCAAGGGTCGATCCCTGATAATCAGTAAATTATACAGTTTTTATTTGATCTTTTTGTCGGATTTCAGGTACTTTCTAGTGCATGTTTACCTGAATTGGTGCTTAATTCTTTACTTTTCGTGTTTCAGGTTAAAATGGACTTTTTGAACGAATAAAGACAAAATTGGGTAGTTTTGACTCAGAAATGAGTGGATCTCAGAAGAAAGGAGAGTTCCGAGGCAGGACAAAGCAAGATGAAGCTTGTTTCCAAGGAAGAGAGCCGAAAATCGAAGAATCGAACGAAGAAGCAAGCAGAGTGGCAGTTTTGTAAATTTCAGAACCTTTGAAGGAGCTTCGCCCCGGCGAAGAAATTGTCTTCGCCGCGGCGAAGTAGGCCAAAGACGATGTGGGACTTCTTCATTCTTCGCCGCGGCGAAGAAGAATTCTTCGCTGCGGCGAAGAAGAAACAGTCAACTTATTCAGTTTTGTAAATGCACAGTTTCGTGTTGTGCGTGCTTTTGGCTGGGTTTTTGGACTAAGTATAAAAGAAAACCTTTTGGCCAGGGTCCTCAGCTTTTTAGGTTTAGCCGTTTTTACACTTTTCTTAGAGTAAAGGCTTTTAGTTTTTCGGATTGTTGAAGGGAAGATTCAGATTTTGACTAGAAGATTCATGTTTTGGGGAGATTTCTTATCTTTCATCTCAGTTTCATTATGTTTAACTTGTTTATTTCTATTTTTCATTTTTGTAGTGTTAATTTAGCTATGAACTAATCTTCTATGGGTTAGGGTTTTGATTGTAGTTTGGATTTTAAATGGGTTAAGTATTTGATTGTGTTATTTCCATGTGAATAAGCTTTGGTTGTGTGTTACTCTGAAATTAAATGTTGTATGTGATGAACATGATGAGATTGAGAAATAATTCATGTTAGGCTTCTTGGGTAATCACCATTATAGTATTGGATGCTAGAGATAGATTCAAGAATTAATGAAATCAATTTAGGATTCTTGTGCTTCATGAATTTAGAATTATTAACCTTCAATTTGTTGGGTGCGGAATGTTAATAAGGATGAATAGGAAAACATAGCCCGAGAGGGTATGTTAACATATTAGTGAATCTGATTTACAACCATTGCGCATGAATGTGAAAATAGTGTAACTCTTAGGTTTAACCCATAAAAGTCCAAACGAAGTCAAAACCCTACCCGTTTTACTTGAATTGATATTCTGTGTTTCATTTTGCTTTCTTAGTTAAGATTTAATTCTTTGTTTAATTTCATTTTTTGTTTTCTTTTTCATTAAAATTTGCTCCCACAAATCCAAAGAATTCGATTACTTCAACTTGATAACGTTAGGAAACTTAGTGCTTTGCTACAGTCCTCGTGGGAATGATATCCTACCCATCACTTTATTACTTAGTGCGACTAGTATACTTGCTACATTTGCATGTTGTAGTAAACACGCATCAATCCCACAGGGAATGGTTTGATTAAATCCTATATTCTAAACACTAACCACAACGAAAACAACAGTAAAATAAAATAAATAAAATCTTAAATAGTAAACATGACAACAATAATGAAAAGGGGGTTGTAGACAACGCAAACTAAAGTAAAACAAAGAAATCTCTAATGTAGAAAATATCAGGTTAATGACAACCAGTTCTCGGTTCAAGATCCACCTAAACATGCAATGCACATGAACTAACCGTAACACTATTCTATCTCGTTATTATGGAACTACTGACCCTAGGAAACAACAAGCTCTGTTACCCGAATTTTCCCTTAGTTGCCACTATTGAAATAAGCTCTTCGAGTAGGTATTAACCCTTGAACAACCTAGTACAAGCTCTCTAAATTTAATTCAATGGCATCCTTAAGAATTTGAAAAATAGATCAATCTAAGGAACAATCACGCAAGTTCAGATTATTTAACTTAGTTTATGTTATTCAAGACGACAGATTGAAAACTTGTCCATAATCATCTATCATCATGTGTTACATTTAAGTAGAAAAAGGACAATTACATATCACAATTCCTAATTCTAACAGGTAAAATCCTGATTGGCCAAAACTAAATCACTCAAACAAGAATCATAAACAATTAAAACATAATAACATAAACAATTCCAATAAGAATGAAATTAAGAACAATATTACTGAAGTTAAGTTACACCAATGACATGAATTCAGGTTTCAAAATCCCCTTCAACTAAAGAAGAAAGATTGGCCGCACATATTGACTTAGAAGATAAAAAAACTAAGAAAAAACCCTACTGCCGTTCTCCCCTGTTTAACCTAACAGGTCCTGACTAAATAACATCTTTTTTTTTTCCTCAATTCTACCTAGGAATCAAGGAAATTACTTTCCTAGACGTTTCCTAAAAGAAAGACTTCCAAAACTGTCAAAATCTTATCAGATATGGAAAACAGAATTCGTCTCCAGCTTGCACAAGGATTCTCGCAATGTAAAAGATCTTTTCTAGGCTTGGTCACTTCATAAAAATTGTAGTCCCAGATGTTTAGATGAATCTGGGCTTTTGAATCACCCGCTTTCGATATCTGATGCTATAGTTAGGCCCATTCGAAGATTCAATACTCAGCCAGGAAATCCTTCCGCGACTAGGATTCCAGGTCCGGTTTTGCAACAACTACTGAGAACCCAAACAAACTCGGATTTTCGCCCATAATACCTTCCTGGAAAGCTTGACTCGTCTACTTTCCTTTTTTTTTTTTTTTTTTTTTTGAAGAATGCTTTTGCAATTGAGAAATCTAACTCTATGAAAATCCTGAAAAACGCAGCACTGGTCAGAATAACAAACATCTGGAATTTCCTAATCTTTTCTCAATTATTTCCTAAAGTCTATCCAAATATGCCAAACTTACAAAATAAACTCTAATAAGCTCAACTAGGCATAAAACATAACAAAAACATAATATGGAAGGAATAAAAAAATATATAAATTTCACTCTTATCAAATTCCCCCACACTTGGCTTTTGCACGTTCCCGAGCAAACTAATTCAAGCACTAAAAAGACTACACTCAAGTCATATCAAGAACACCATCATGATGCATAAGCAACAATATTCAATCCATGCATATTTATACCTGACTTAGGAAGTAGCAAAATAAAATAAAGTAGAGTTAATGACATTCATCTCTCTTCATCATTTTCCACAATTACTCTCAATCAGTCAATGCAAACAAGGGAACTAATCACAACCAATTCATATACAACTCACCTCTCAACTTTTTCCTCAACTGTTTCTCTTTACTACTACAAACTGGGTAGCAAACTAGGGAAATATTTCTTTTTTTTTTCCTTCTTTTTTTTTCTGTTTTGAAAAAGAATGAGTGCATTTTATGCTCCATCTCATTTCATGGTTGTGTTTATGAGTGAGTGTGTTTTACGCTCCATCTTAACCCATCACATACCTTTTTTTTTCTTTTTTTCTTTTTTTTCTCCTATTTACTTAAACCCAAGTTTAGGACTAGCTTAAGAGAAACAATTTTTCTTTTTTTCTTTAAAGGTTTGTTATACACTCCTTACTCATGCTTCGTCACCAAGTTCGCACAACTTATCAAGACATATTGTTTCAAAACTACAAAGATTCAAATATGATTAACTCTTATTTTATGAAATATTGCTAACATCCTAACTCAAGGAATATGCTCAATAACAAAGTCAAGTTTATTTCATGCATCACTAGACATTCAAAAACATGACTTAAAGCATAAACCTTCCTTAAAAAAAAATAAAAAAAATAAAATAAAAAAAACTCTTTTTTTTTTTTTAAAAACAAACGTTACACCTAAAAAAAAAAAAAAAAACAGAATATAACACACACCTAAGCCTAACTTCTCCCCCACACTTACAGCTTACATTGTCCCCAATGTAAAACCCAAATATAGAGATAGGCAAAAAAAACAATTGAAACATAAACAAACTGGAAAAGAACAAAAAAAAAAAAAAAAACTAAGTTCAAAGGAAAAGAAAATCAAATCTGAATTCGTGGGTTGCCTCCCAAGCAGCGCCTTTGGTTAACGTCATTGGCTCGACTCTCTACATGGTTATCACTAGTCATGAATCGACTCCTCCAATCCCACCTCCTCAATATTGCAAACTTGGAAACCTTCATAGTAAGGCTTAAGCCTATGTCCATTGACCTTAAACACCTTATTTGTTTTCAAACTTTGTATTTCTACTGCACCATGAGGAAAAACATTAGTCACAATAAAAGGCTCCACCCAACGAGAATGTAACTTACCCGGAAATAATTTCAACCTTGAATGAAAAAGAAGGACTTTCTGTCCAACAGAGAAATTCTTCCTGGAGATCATCTTGTCATGAAAGGCTTTAGTCTTTGCTTTGTAGATGTGTGAACTCTCGTAGGCATCATTCCTCAACTCCTCAAGTTCTTGCAATTGCAAATTCCTATTAACGCTAGCTTCCTTCATCTCCATATTACAATGCTTGATTGCCCAATAAGCCTTGTGTTCTAATTCTACGGGAAGATGCACACCTTACCAAACACTAATTTGTATGGAGACATGCCAATAGGTGTCTTATATGCTGTTTAGTATGCCCATAATGCATCATCTAATCTCAAAGACCAATCCTTCCTGTTTGGGTTCACTGTCTTTTCCAAAATTGACTTGATCTCTCTATTTGACACCTCTGCTTGGCCATTGGTTTGTGGGTGGTACGATGTGGAAACCTTGTGTGTGACATGGTATTTCTTAAGCAATGCCTCTTTTGTCTTGTTGCGAAAATGAGTGCCCTTATCACTGATTATGGCCCTTGGTATCCCAAACCTAACAAAAATGTTAGTTTTAACAAAATCTGCAACAACCTTTGAATTGTCAGTTCTGGTGGCTTTCGCCTCCACCCATTTGGAAACATAATCAACAACTAAAATAATATAAACATTACCAAAGGAAACAGGAAATGGACCCATAAAATCAATGCCCCACACATCAAAAATTTCAACAATAAATGTAAGAGATTGTGGCATTTGATCTCTACGAGAAATGTTTCCTGTTCTTTAGCAATTATCACAAGACTTACAGAACATATAGGCATCCTTGAATAATGATGGCCAATAAAAGCCGCATTCTAATACCTTACGAGCTATCCTTTGTGGTCCAAAATGTCCTCCACATGCATAGGTATGACAGAAGGTTAAAATAGGAATAAATTCATGTTCAGGTACACACCTTCTTATCACTTGGTCAGCACAATGCTTCCACAGATATGGATCATCCCAAGCATAGTACTTAGCATCACTCTTGATCTTGTCCTTTTGAGCTTTAGTCAAATCAATTGGCAACACGTTAGTAACTAAAAAAATGACAATATCTGCAAACCATGGTGACGCCATTTTAATGGAAAACAATTGCTCATCCGAAAATGTTTCTCGCAAAGGGCTAAGGTAATCTGCTATAATATTCTCTGCTCCCTTTTTATCTTTAATCTCCAAATCGAATTCCTGGAGTAGAAGAATCCATCTAATTAGCCTTGGTTTTGCCTCTTTCTTTGTGAGCAAATACCTAAGAGTTGCATGATCAGAAAAAGTAATGACTTTAGCACCCAACAAATATGACTGAAATTTTTCTAGAGCAAAAACAACAGATAAAAGTTCTTTTTCAGTCGTAGAATAATTGAGCCGAGCGCCATTCAAGGTCCTGGACACATAATATATGGCGTGACATGCTCTGCCAACTCTTTGACCCAAGACAAAACCTAATGCGCAGTTGCTTGCATCACACATAATTTCGAAAGGTAGCTCCCAATTAGGTGGTTGTATCACTGGTGCTGTCGTCAACAATGTTTTCAACTTGTCAAATGCCTCCTTGCACTGCTCATCAAACTGAAAATCCACATCTTTTTGTAACAATCTGCATAGGGGCAGTGTGATTTTTGAAAAGTCCTTGATAAATCTCCAATAGAAACCTGCATGGCCAAGAAAAGATCGAACTTCCTGCACAATGGCGGGGTAAGGTAAAGCTGTAACCAAATCTATCTTAGACTTATCAACCTCTATTCCCTTGGATGAAACAATATGCCCTAAAACTATACCTTGCTCTACCATAAAATGACATTTTTCCTAGTTAAGTACAAGGTTAGTTTCCATGCATCTATCTAGAATTAGTGTAAGGTTATGTAAGCACTTATCAAATGAATCACCATAGACACTAAAATCATCCATAAAAACCTCTACAATTGACTCGACATATTCTAAAAAGATACTTACCATACACTGCTAAAAAGTGGCTGGAGCATTGTAGAGACCAAATGGCATTCGGCGATAGGTGAATGTACCAAATGGACATGTGAATTTCGTCTTCTCTTGATCCTCTGATGCTATGACAATCTGGTTATAACACTAAAAATCCATCAAGAAAACAGTAATAAATATGACCAGCTAACCTCTCAAGCATTTGATCAATAAAGGGAAGTGGAAAGTGATCTTTTCGAGTTGTTGAGTTCAACTTCCTGTAATCAATGCACACACGCCAACCTGTCTGAACACGTGTAGAGACCAACTTATTGTCTTGATTCTTCACAACTGTAACACCAGATTTCTTGGGGACAACTTGCACTAGACTTACCCACTTACTATTGGAAATCGGATAAATTACCCCAGCATCTAAGAGTTTTAGGACTTCTTTTTTCACCACATCCATTATTGGGGTATTTAATCTGCGTTGTGCTTCCTATGTCGGTTTGGCACCTTCTTCCAACAAAATTTGATGCATGCATATGGAAGGACTAATCCCCTTAATGTCAGCTATGGTCCAGCCAATCGCTTCCTTATGTTCCCGTAGCATTCGAACTAGTTTCTCTTCTTGATTGGGTGTCAACTTCTTTGACACAATTACCTGCAGTGTCTCATTTTCTCCCAAGTACAAATACTTCAAATGGCCCGGTAATGGCTTCAACTCCAGTGTAGGGGCTTGCAAAACAGAAGGCAACAATTTCTAGTGAGAATCAGGGAGCTTTAGAAAAGAAACTCCATACCTTTCTGGAATCAGTTTTAAGGAGCGTAAAGTGATGCGTGTTTACTACAACATGCAAATGTAGCAAGTATACTAGCCGCACTAAGTAATAAAGTGATGAGTGAGTATCGTTCCCACGAGGATAGTGTTACTAAGTACCGATTTTTCTAGTTAAAGTCCTAATTGAAGCAACAATAAATTGGATTGATGGATGATTAATAAACAAAATACAAATGCAAAACCCAACAACTTAACTAATTAAACAATTCTAAAACAAATGCTAGGGTGTTTAATTCACCTAAATACGCTAACCCAAATCATAGAATCTATTACCCAAGTTCTAATTCCTTGATTGAAAATCAAATTCCCTAAGTTGTAAAAGATACATTCTCATGCTACATTTCCCTACTTATCCCTATTAAGCTTCCGCACCCAACAAAATGAAGATTAATAGTTCAAAGGATTTTAAGCTTTGTGGAATTCTATCTAGATTTCATAGATCGCTAAACCTATCTCTAGCGTTTGCTAATCTACGGTATTTATCCCAAGAGGCACAATCACAAATCACTTCTCAGTCTCATTGTGAACAACACACATTTGAATGGTGATCAAGCATCCAAAAGACATTAAGCAAAGAGATAAACACTCAATCATGAAATTAAAACTCAAAGTAATTCAATCCATATAAATTTGAATCATTGTATCAAGATTACATCAAACCCTAGCTAAACAACTCAGTTCATACTCAAAAACGAAATAAAACAACAAAAACAAACTGAATCAAGATTCATCATTGAAAAGCAAGCAAAAGATGGAGAAATCTTCTCTAATTTGAAGCCCAAATCTTCAATAATCTTCTCCTTCCATGAGCTGCCTCCCAAATCACGAACCAAGCCCCCTTTTCTCTTCCTTTTCGCTCTAATTTATACCTCTCTCACTTAAGGACAAAGCCCTAGCAAGCCAAAACGCGTCGTTTTATTTTTGCATCTGATGCAGGTTTCGCCGCGGCGAAGCTTTTTCCTCGCCGCGGTGAAGACTTTCGGGCCAAATTTTAGCATGATAGATTCTGAATATGGAAAAGTGTTAAACATATTAATTGTAGCCCTTTAAATAATCTTTCTGTTCGTTTAATAATCAGAACAATCCGAGTTCTACAGCTCAAGTTATGGCAGAAATACTAAAGCACGTCCAAAGATGTTTTTCTTCAGTTCCCAGCGTCCTTTTCACGACTTCAAGCCAAGTTTTCACCTTTGTCCCGTCAGAATTAGGAAAAACCCAAAACATTAACGTTTTAGCTCTTCTTCTTAGCTTTCCAAAGCTTCTAAATTCAGGTTATTCCGAGTTTTCAAGCTCAAGTTACACAATTTACGCTCAAAACTGTCATTTATGCTAAAAATCATCGTTTTGGCCTACAAAGACAAATTAATAGAATTAGGTAACAATTATGGCCCAAATTGTATGAAAAGTATCCTAAATCCTATCAAAATTCAATGCAAAATCATAGTGTAAAATACGCTTATCATAAAGCTGCCACTGTCTCCTTCAATTCTTCACTGAGCTCTATCTCTCCTTTCTCCTCTGATTCCATATGTTTGAGAAGGGCAACCTCTAACTCATCTGCATTATTCAACTCAAAGATCTCTTGTACTATGGAATCAACAGGATCAACAACATCCATAGCAAAAATAGATTGAACATCAGTTGGATATTTCATGGCATCAAAAATATTAAAACGAATTACTTTACCATCAAATACCATTGTGAGGGTACCATCATGAACATGTACTTTTGTCCGCACTATATTTAGGTATGGTCTTCCCAGTAAGATAGGTGCAGGGCCAGGAGACGAAGAATCATCCATATCCATAATGTAGAAATCAGCCGGAAACACTAGCTCATTGACCTGCATAAGAACATCCTCAACTACCCCTTCAGGGTATGCATTACTACGATCAGCCAATTGGATAATAACACCAGTATCTTTCACAGAACCTAGATTTAATGAAGTATAAATAGATCGTGGCATAACATTAATCAAAGCTCCTAAATCTAACATAGCTCTCTCAATCCTGGTGTTACACATCTTACAAGGAATTGTAAACATACCTGGATCCTTGCATCTGGGAGGAAGTTTTCTTTGGAAAATTGCTGACACATTTTCTCCCATTATTATCTTCTCATCACCGTTCAACTTCCGCTTATTGGTGCATAGCACCTTAAGAAATTTCGCATACCTTGGCACTTGCTTAATTGCATCCAACAAAGGTATGTTCACTTCCACCTTGTGAAACATCTCCAAAATTTCTTTATCCTTCTCTTCTTTCTTTGACTTAGCAAATATGCTAGGAAAAGGTAAAGTACTAGATTGAAGTTGAATTGAAGGGTTAGGAATTACCTTTGATTCAGTTGTAGCCTCTTCTTTCTCAATTTCTACTTCCTTTGCTACACTTGGAATGTTCAGCTTTGGTTCTTCCACTTTCTTGCCAGTTCTTAGCGTCACTGCATTCACATTTTCCTTTGGATTCACCACTGTTTGAGAAGGCAACTTCCCTCCAACTTGAGCCTCTAAATGACTTATAGCAGTTGCCATTTGACCCATCTGATTCTCCAAACTTTGAATACTAGATCTTGTATCTTGTTGAAACTGTTTGGTATTCAAAGCAAGGGACTTAACTATATCTTCCGAGGATGAGTTTGAACTCTGTGAGGCAGGTTGCTTCGATTGAAAACCTTGTTGTTATCTATTTTAGAAGAAATTTTGTCCACCTCCTACTTGTCTATTTCCTCCATAACTGAAATTCGGATGATCCCTCCAACTTGGATTGTACGTGTTGGAGTAAGGATCATGTTGCCTCGGTGGTCCAAGAAAGTTTCCTGCTACATTGACCTGCTCAGTCCCTTCCTCTTGAAGTGCTGGGCATATGTCTCTTTGGTGTCCTATTATCAAACATATCCCACAAGATTTTACCTGTTGTGTATTCCCTACAGCCAATTGTCTAACAGGAGAGGTAAGATCAGATAATTGTTGTTCAATGGAAGATGTACTTGCCTCATTCACCCTTTTGGGTGGTGCATCATGTCTTGTACCAAACTATTGGGAATCGGCAGCCATGTTTGAGATTAATTGTTTGGCAGCTTCAGGAGTCTTATCCACCAACGCACCTCCACTTGTTGCATCTATCATGTTTCTTTCCATAGGCAACAATCCTTCATAGAGATACTAAATTAACAGTTGATCACTTATCTGGTGGTGAGGACAGCTTGCATATAGCTTCTTGAATCGCTCCTAATATTCATACAATGTCTCTCCATTATATTGCCTTATACCACATATCTCTTTCTTGATGATGGCAGCTCTGGATGCTGGGAAATATCTTTCTAAAAATATCCTTTTCATCTCGTTCCATGTTGTGACTGTCCCCAATGGTAGATAATAGAGCCAATCCTTTGTATCATCCCCCAATGAAAAAGGGAAAGCTCGCAACTTAATTTGCTCCTCTATCACCCCTGTCGGTTTCATACTTGAACAGACTACATGGAACTCTTTTAGATGTTTATTTAGATCTTCACCTGCACAACCACGAAATGTAGGCAACAAGTGAATTAGACCAGACTTCAGTTCAAAAGCAACATCTAAAGTAGGGTACTGAATACACAAAGGCTGCTGATTAAAATCAGGGGCAGCCAACTCCTTTAATGTTCTACCAGCAGTGGCCATCTCTTCTATTTCTGAATCTGGATCACTAAATGAACTGTGGGATGCTGAAGAACTTGCTTGACGTGCCTCTTTTCGCAACTTCCATAAACTAAGTTCGATTTCTTGATCAAATTCCAACTCTCCTGTAGAATTGGATCAAGTCATAAACCACTAAAATCACCAAATAAAGCCTAAATAAATAAAGACTAATAAAATAAAATAAAATTATAAATTTTTTTTGACAAAAACTAAAATTGGCCAAAAGCCCTATTAAAAGCACTAAAAGTGGCCAAAAGCACTAAAATTGGCCAGAATTTCGTTTTCTTCGAAACAGATACTCGTAGCGCTCCTAATTCAACCAAAATTTCTCTTATAAATAGTACTACTGTTCACTTGGAATAGTAATACTGTTCCAAAATTTTTCTTAAAAAAAAAAAAATGTAAAAATCACAATTGAACAATTGAAAAACACAACTAAACACTAATTAAAAAAAAAACATAGAAAATAGAAAAAAAATCGACAAAGAACATTCCCCGGCAATAGCGCCAAAATTTGATAGCGTGCCAAATGCTCCAAATTAATAACCTTCTCAACTTAACTCCTGAATTGCATATAGGATAAGCAAGGGCCGATCCCACAGGGAATGTTTCGATTAAATCCTATATTCTAAACACTAACCACAATGAAAACAATAGTAAAATAAAACAAATAAAATCCTAAACAGTAAACATGACAACAGTAATGAAAGAGGGTTGTAGACAACGCACACTAAAGTAAAACAAAGAAATCTCTAATGGTAGAAAATATCAAGTTAAAGACAACCAATTCTTGGTTCAAGATCCACCTAAACATGCATTGGACATGAATAACCATAACACTATTCTATCTCGTTATTATGGAACTATTGACCCTAGGAAACAACAAGCTCTGTTACTCAAATTTTCCCTTAGTTGTCACTACTGAAATAAGCTCTTTGAGTAGATACTAACC